TATCAACTTTATTCTTTTCTTCTTTTTTATTTTTTATTTTTAAGGGGGGCATTTGCAGTCTTGGAAGCAGGCACAAAAAAATCTTGTCTTTCATCTTTATTAGAATGATCCCTTTTATCTCATAGTGTTATTATTTGGGTAGCCAAGTAGGGGAAATGTCATGCTTACTTCAATAAATAACTTGCAGGGATCTGTGGCACAAAAGTTCTTAATAATAACATCAGGGGAAAGGAAAGAAAGCACTTACCCCTGCATGAGTCTGGCATCCCATGAGAGATCTGCTGTAGGTTGCTCTTGTCAAGATATCCCAAAGATCAGGCAGTGCATCAGCCAACTTTATTGTCATATTAACTCCCCCTGTGAAATCTACTAGAGCTTCTGACACTTGCCCAATTTGTAGATCTTCATAAGAACCACACAGCCTGCCAAGAAAGTTTTGCCAAATATTTTCTTAAATGTATGTTAGATGATTGTGACAACAGATTTAAAATAGACTTGAGTGAGATTCATGACAGAATCCTAGGGGAATCACTTACTTGGCATATGCCTTTTCCAGAAGAGCTCCCCAGAATAGGTTCTTGTAAACAGAAGAGAGGAAAAGAAGCTGACCGGCTTCATTTACCGGTAGTCGGTCATCTACTACAACATCAACCCATTCTCCAAAATGCCAGAACTGAAAAAGGAAAGGAACACATGATGATCATGCTCCTATTTCAAAGAGGGAGAAAAGCCATTATCTAACCCTACATCACTGCTGGTCAAGCAATAACTGCAGGAAAGTATACCTGAACTTTTTGCTATAGTAATATGATAATGACCAAAACAATGAAGTTCAAAGAGCTGAGTTTAGGATATACAAATCCAAGGTGCATCTCAAGGGCCTGAAGTGACAAGAAGGGGCATTCATTTAATAAAATTAAAGCACTAGATACTTCTGATTAAAAACTGTTTCTCGCTTGTGAAAGTTCAATATCCAGACTTCTTAGTCTTTTTGCTTTGTTTCACAGGATTATGTGGCCTTTTTTCTCCTTGAAATGTCAAATTCTGATTTAGGGAATTCTCTTTCTCTTCTTTCATAAGATGCGATTGCTTGCTCATAATATTTTTGTGGGTTGTTTTGCAGTTTTAAGGCACTAATAAATTTTAGCACTCCCAAAACAAAATGAACACATAAATAAACAGCAGACAAACAATCAAGCAGAAAACAAAATAAATACAAAAAGTACATAAGCTGAATGCAAAAATATCAAATTCCAGAACTGGTTCTCAAGTTTAATTTTAAGTTTATAGACTGACATTGTTCAATCAACTTCCAATGCTTTTAATAGTTTGGAGGAATGTGAAAGCTATGGGGGTTGCAAAAGAATAATTATAGAAGCATCCAAAATGAAGGATTGTTTGACACAATTATTTTTTCATGCTTCACAAAGAACCACATGCAGTATACGAAGAGTTTCAACTACTGTTTAAAAAATGTGACAATGTGCTTTTAATAAGTTTCCAAAGGATTTCCTCACAATAACTTCATATTCAGAGCCAAGTGATCCAAGGATTGTAGTAATTCTGGCCCTCAGTTTGGTAGAAAAGAGGATACTGTAATGAAGATCAGATATTTTGGAGTGTATTTGTATGTTTCTCAATGGACAAATAGACCAGTACAGATGAATTACTTAATGTATTTAAGTAATGGTGACAGGAATCTGGTGGAAACCACAGTAAACTCACATGCTTCATTGTGCAAATGACACATATTATGTAATTTGCATCCATCGCTTCACATGACTAACATTAAAACAGTACATGATTCATGTAATTCACACAATGACATCATAACGCATGTCTCTTGCTCCTATTTACTCTCCTGTGCAAAGGCCCACATCGAAGGCAATTCCTATCCCAAATCTCTAAAAAGCACTATATTGGGGAAGGCTGATTCATATAGATTGACAGAACTATGTGAATTATTCATTACATTTACAGAAATCTAACAGAATCATAGACCATTTTTACAGTTAGGATGTTTCATCAGATAGCTCTACTGGGGATTATACTCACCTTGAAATGAAATATTCCAGCATATTTCTTCCTCTCAAAGCTCTGGTTTTGCGGCACCACATTAAACAAAATGTCTTGATGAAATGTTAAAGCTTCCACAGCAGCCAAAAACCAGCAGTTCTCTGTGCCAAAATGGGTAAGGAAAACCAAAGATGACCTAAAAACTGCTTGTTAACATTATTTCAGGGTACTTAATGGAAGGCAGTGCATGTTCAGATATTTATTACTTTTATAATTAACCAGGAACTGACTAATGTAGGCCAGATATAATTTTGTGCCTTATTCTGTAGAATGCATGTCATCTTCAGTAGTAAATTTGCAATTGAAACTTAGATTATAAAACAGGCCTTTCATACTTTCAGCAAAGTTTTCTTTTATTTATTTATTTCTTCATTCAATTTGTATAGCTGCCCATTTCATATCTGTGACTCTGGCTGCCTCACATAATTAAGTTACAAAGATTTTCTTTAGAAATTGCATGCTTGTTTCCATTCGCGTATAGTTGTGTAGTTGGCTTTGCATTTTTATTTTTCTATATTATTATTGCTGTTAGGTATTAGAATGGCAAATGGAGAAATTCCAAAGGGATAGCAAATTGTCCTTTACACAGATTGAAACAGTTGGTTGTAATCTGCCTTATTTCAAATCAGAACCTTCCATGAAAGTTTGTTCTTCCCCATAGTCTAACTTTCCTGAAAATTTCATCTAAAAACAAATAGCCATTTAGGCCTATACGTTTTCCTATACTAGATGAACAGAGGTGGGATACTCATATTTCCAAATCTGCTCTGATGCACAGACCAAATCAGGGCAGTCTGTTTTCTGCCAGACTGTTTCAGGCTAGAATAGGCTTTTTTTAGAGCCACAGCTCTTGAAATGGGTTGGTAAACTAAGCTTACCCTGACACATTCTAAATATTCACACAAACAACATTCTGTCTTGGAAAATTTCTTACCTATCAGTCCTTGACATAGAGCAAGCCTTTTTTTGTTGGTAGAATAAAAGACTGGATTCTTGTGCAGCTCCTGCAATAAATAAATAAATAATAAAATAATAAAATAATAAAATAATAAAATAATAAAATAATAAAATAATAAAATAA